TGCGAAAAAATTAAAAGAATCAATATAATTATATAAGAATAATCTGTAAGTAAAAAATAAATTTATCACCTGTTATCAAGCTTTTAATTATATTTTGTGTATAGTTAGCTGTCTATGAAAAATCTATCATAGTAATAGATTTTTCATAAACAGCTAACTCTATACAAAATATAATTAAAAGTGTAATAAAAAGTTTTTTTTGATGACGCTCATATTAGACTTATTATAATTGCTATTTAAAATAATATAATTACTTACTATTTAATATAACTAATACATCAATTATACAAAACATTATATTACAATTAAAGCAATCTAGCAAAACAAATACAAAATTTTTAATATAAAGCATTTAATATCCTTTAATATTTTTAATAAAAGCTATCCATTCATCTTTTCTCATATTCTCTAACCAAGTAATGCTCACATCATCGATTATATCTAGAAGTACCCAATTATTATTGAGTATTTCAAGTAATTGATGCAAGCGAGGCCCTGCAGTAATAAAAGTTGTAAGTTTTCTTGATGAAATATTTCCTATAAAGCCAGGAATATTTATGTTCAAATCTGAATAGCTTTCTAAATCTTGATTCTTTTTTCTTTTTCTTACTTTAAAAGAATTCCCATCAATAACTTGTTTAATATTAAATGAATTGTTTGATTGATTAATATTAAACATATTAGATAGTGATTCTTTTCCAGTAAGTAAAGACCTTACTTGATTTGCACACGTGGTTCCTTTTTTCACGGGTTGTATATTTTTTTACCCATTCTATTAAGTAATTATATGCTAATTCAAATTTATACAAAAATCGAAGCAACATTCTGCGAGAAACTTCAATATTATAAGTTGTAATATTACAATCAAAAATAGACTGATAGCACATGCTCATTAATGTTGTAAAAATTTGCACTTTTTTATCTGATGTATTATGCTTTGAACAGTTACTAACCCTAAGATCCTGAGATATTTGCGGTATACACCTTAAAAGCATAATCTGATCTTGTAAATCTAAACTATTATCAGAATTTGATAATCTAAGATTTTCATATTCTAAAGCTAATCCACCATTAATCTGAGTAGGATCAAATTGAACTATTGAAGTTTTACGAAGTATAGAAAGTTCCTTTAGATATTTAAGAAGACTTTTATAATAATCATCTTTTTTAATAGTAGAATTTTTATCAT